AGAAAAATTCTCTGGAGAGCTTATTCCCTGTCATCTGGAATGACTGAGGTCTCCTCAAGAGAAGGCGCTCTCTACTTTGCAGGAGGCGATTGTAAGTGGAAGTAAGTGATGCCAAGTGACTGCCTCATGAATCTCGTGTTGAGAGAAGAGCAGTGGGAGATCACTTCACCATCAGCACAGAACTGAAAGACACTGTCTCCTGAATTAATAATCTGAATCAACTGTTCTGCTTCTGGCAGCCACAGGAAGATACAAAATCCAGATATAGCTTCCATTTTCTGCATGTTATTATTTCAGATGAAATTCAAAATCAAAGCAGGCAGGACAGAACGTACTCAGAACTATGCAAACACTGCATGCGTGACTTATCTTCTCCCCACATTAAATGCATTTTAAAAAGACACAGAGCAGATATTCAGTGTACACCATGAAATAAGACATGAGAGTTAGACATAAAGTTAGTTGCTTTCCAGATAGGAACAGGGCCAAATAAGAAGAAAGAATCACCTATGTCTTCCACAGGAAACTCACCCTGTCTGTGTCTCATAGGAAAAAGGTTTCACAGGATGGCAAACCTCATGTCTCATTTTGTTGTTCATCAGAGCCATAGTTCAGCTCTGTTTCTACTCCAGTTATCCCTACTCCAGCTAACTTCATCCCTCCAGCTGCTCCCTCAGCACACTAGCTCTAGCCCGCTGCGCAATTAAAAATCATAGGACGATGTAGGGTGGAAGGGGCCTCTGGAGCCTGTAGTCCAAGCCCCTGCTGAAAGCATGTCCATTAGATCCAGCCTCTCAGGGCCATGTCCAGTGGAGATTTGAATGTCTCCAAGGACAGAGATGCCACAGCCTCACTGGGCCCCTCTTCCAGTGTCTGATCACCTTTTTGCTTAGTTCAGTCTGGAATTCCTGATGTTGCAAATTTTGTCTTATCCTATCCTCGTTCAATTCTAAGAGTCTGGCTCTGTCATCTATATTCTTCCACTAGGTAGCTGTAGACAGCAAGACCTTTACCTTCCCCTCTACAGAATGAGAAGGTGAAGCTCTCCCTTCCTTACATTGTACACCATGTGCTTCATCCCCTTGACACTTCCTCCACGCCCTTACAAATTATGACAATCCTTCTCTGGCATATCGGGTTTGAAGATCTCCTTGCAAGGTTATCCTTTTGGCAAAACCACTCTTGTCCCATTTGACCAGGTGGATTCCATTCCTCTCAGCAGTCCATTTATGAATGAGATCTCGTTAGTTAGGGCTCTCTGCTGCCTCAGTTTATAAGTCAGGTTTACATAATCTAATTCTTTCTGACTCAACCAATTTCATCATTCTCTTGTCATAGAAACTTCTGTTTGTGAGAACATTAGGTAAAATCCCTTCTTAATCCTGCTGTATCACAGGGCACCCTTGCCATCTTTCACTTGTATTTGTTTTTGGAAGAGTGTGCCAGTTGCCCTGATACCAAATTGACTAGTAGGAGTGAGATAGACAACTGTTTGCTGTTGATCAATGCAATAGTACACATAGAGTCACTATGACAAATTAAAAAGGTTTATTTATTACTGTCTCTGTAGTATTGTTTAAAAACTCAAAAGGTCAGATACGGTACCAAAAACTAATAGCACATGTTAATTTCAATTACAAAAGGACAAGTTCCCAGACAAAATGTGAGCTGGGATCATCCTGACCACTAAGAGGACACTCAAATGTTTCGTAAAAGTGAAACTGCATGTCTGGTTTTATAAGCTCAACTATAGGCATTATCACACATATGTTCTTACAATGAGGGGAGAATGTATTAATATAAGTGAAGCCTGTATCAGTCTCTATGGTTACAGCGAACATTTTCTAATATAAGCCATTGTCTTCAGATGCTGAACTTTCCATGTTTCAAGTGCTTAGGCTGAAATTTTCCATCACTGCTCATTGTTTCCAGGTGAATTCTCTAGCAATCAGGTTAGCAAATGTACTGAAGAATTCTAGCTGAAACAGCAATTGGAAATCTGGCAGGAACTCAATATTATCATCTGTTACCATCCTCTCAAATCTACCGCATGGCTTGGTGACTTTTTAAAAGACTCAGCAGATCCTGCTAGAGGATTTGTCTGAAATTTCCAAATGTAACATCTACAGCAGATGAATCAGTCTCAGCCGATCACTACCTGTGCACGACCCCAAAGTCCTGCAGAACATGTGGGTCAAACGGGGCACGCCAACTCTGCCCTTTGCCTGAGGGATTGTGTCTAGGGGTTGAGAAACAGAAGGCAGCCCAAATTTTGGATCTGCATCTCTTCAACTGAGTATGTTATAAATAACTGGCTCCACCCCACAGGTATTCAGGCAGTTTTTGTATATAGTCCCAGTGGCAGAGATCTGTGCAGTGGATCCAAACATCCCAAGTCAGAACAGTCATCCTGAAGGACACCAGTTTCTGATAACAGGCCCCAACACTATGCTGGGATAAGAATTTAAAAACCTCAACTCAAAACATTTTTTTTAAACAGTCTTGTGAAAAAGAGGTAGCCAAGCCTGTTCATCTCCCACCAGCCCATATACTGTAAGGTATTGTGTGCCATCACCACACATATACTAGGTTCTGCTCATCTAAATCTTGACATAGGGATGGAAAATGGATTCTCTGTCCTATATTTTGGGTCATAGGAGCCAAGAGGTTCTAGATATAACCAAAGAGATCCTTTAGTCAAACTGGGATCTCAGCAAACAGCTTGTTCTCTCTGCAATATCTTTACCACCCTGCCCTACTTCACATCTTCATTCATCACTTTTTCTGTTTTTCAGATTTTGGGTGGTGATTTGCTAAATTTAAACCTTCTGAATACCCGATTACTCCTAGATATTCCTGGTTTCCTAATTAATTTTTACCAACTTTACCCACTGTAAGTATTTACCAAATAAGTGACTGGTCGCTGCTCTTGTGCATTGCAGGTGTCCTGTGGTTATCAGTAGTATCCGAGGTGTTGTACATCATGCTGTTAGTCGTCGGATTCAGCCTTATGTGCCTCGAGCTCTTTCATTCAAGCAGTGTGATAGATGGGCTCAAGTTAAATGCCTTTGCTGCTGTCTTCACTGTGCTTTCAGGTATGAGCCTTCCCTTTCCCTTTTGCCTAAGGAGCCACAACAAAACAAAACCCTAAAACTCTGAAAGAATAAAATCTGGAGGGTATGAGATTCTTTTATCCCCATTTAACTATCACATTTCTCACTGCATTTTTTTTGTTTCTTTGGAACACGGACCATATGATAAATTTGCCTCTTGCCAGGACGAAGAGAAAATACATATTCCTGATTTCACACTGGCAATGCAGTCATTAGCCTCCCCGCAGCCCACATAGCCATTACCATACCCATAGCCCGAGCCTCCATTTTCAGCATCATCTCACTGATTATCCAATAGAAAATTAAAAATATATAGTGTTGAAATTCTTTTTTCTATGTTAATCCTAAAAGTAAGTGAAGGCTTGACGCTTCAAACGAAAGAAGCCCATCTTGTTCATTAGCAAAACTATGAATTAAAAGGATTCTAGTAATCTCACTTAGGAACAACCTGGGAACGTGCACATCTCAAAACAATGATTTCAGGCTATTTTCATGCTTGATCTGGAGCCCCCTCAGTGAATGAACTTGAGCAATTCACTTCTCTAAAGAAGTTACCAAATCTAACCATATAATTAAGTGCCCCTTCACTTCTGTGCTGTCTGAAAACTCCTCTTCCCAGCCACAACCACAACCAGCCACAGCTGGCTTTTGTGAGCACTCCTGCATGGATCTCTGGCAGAAAGAACTTCTGCAGTCAAAGTACATTTTATTCTGCTGTATTTCAAGCTGTAAGACATTATAACATGCAGTGTAGATTCCTGTGAAGGAGTTTCTATCTTCAGGGATAGCTTCAAATTGTGAAATACAGTTAGTGGAATAAAACTTAGATCAGAAGTGGAACTGAAAGGACAAATAAAACCCCATATTTTTCAGCTTTGGATGTAATTTGGGTTTTTAAAAAAGTCAGTTCAATTTTCAGAATCAAACTATGTGGAATTCTTCAGCATTTAAGCAATTATTTCCATGCCGTTTCTCTTTCTTTTCACCATTAACTGCAGTATTAAGTTTTGTAAGAGTTATGAAGATTTCTTTCCTACACATCTTTCTATTTTTATTTTTCCTTCCCTCTTTATAAGTACATTGCCTCGATGTTCCAAATATAAACTTTAAAATTTTACAGAGAAAAAGGACAGAAAAATAAGAATCATTTAAAACCCCAAAACACTACTAGCTAGTTTTAGTCAGTGACAGAGATCTGAGAAGAAAGGAAAAAAGCATATTTATTTAATCTTAGCATATCTATAATGACACAGCTTTATAGAAATAAGATAACAGAGGGCTTTGCTTGGAGCAACACACCTCTCATTAAATTCATGCTAGAGTTCCTTCCTTAAAGTGCAATGGGATCTTCATATCTTCGTACTCTCATAGCTCAACATCTAAAGGTTAGGAAAAATTACTCTAACAGTGTCGCCACTTTTTGCTGTTTCTTAAACTCTTATAAGTCATTAAAAGACCACCCACAATACTGACATTTTGGTATTCCTCTTAACCTCACATACGTCTCATATAACATTTATAATAAGCATTTTAATTAATGTGATATATTCCATAAATAGTATTTTTAGTAAAGGTATCTGAAAATGCTTTAAAATATATTGTCTTTTCCAAATTTAGTTCCTTAAGCTTTCCTAGAAACAGCTCTGGTCATGCAAGGCTAATGATCTCAAGCCAACTACACATGGTCAGTGTTTCTGCTTTCCCATCCACTCCAGACATTCCAGTCCACCATATTATCAGGATTTTCCACTGCAAGCCTCTGTTGCCCTGGACCCCAGGTGGGTGGGCATACAGGCATTTTGTCCTAAGCAGCCAGTTGGAGGAAAAGAGGATCTTGTAAATATATTCATTCATTTATTGTTACAGGCAGGTCATTTTATCCAACATGTAACCATTAAATGTACAACAGAAAATATCATAGGATATCCCTATGGAGCACTTGGCAGAGTATATCTAAAATGGACCAAACAGATGGGTGGCATCAGAAACAAACCAGACAAAAAGTGCATGAAGCAGCACAATGAAAGAAAGACTCATATTGTTCTGCTATAGCTTATACACGGCATAATGCCACTGACAACACAGCCAGGTACGTGTCTGTCCCCCAACCCTCCTCACCATTTGGCAGATAAAGAACAAAAATGCCACATTTTCACTGTGGTCCCTGTGTTACAGCAGGACTTGCTGATGACCTCCTACTCATTGTATCGGTGAACTGTCATCCTGGCCTCCCACACAGCGAAAGGGCAGAACATTGCCAAAACCCCATTAAGGTTTTGCATGACAGAAGAGAGCAGAACAGCCTTGCTGAAGCTAGTCCTGGCCGTGTCAAGCCTCCTGATGTCTCTGAGTGACAATGACATGTCTCAGGGCAGTCTGTAATATTTTATTAAGGTTGAAAAATTACTGACAGTAGGCATAGGAACAGCAAACCCCAAACTTAAGATCAATGCCATAACTGTCAAGTGGAAAAAAAATCACTGATTTAAAAAGTACAGCAAGCTCCATGTGAATTCTGGAAATTAAATATAGCCAGAAACAAGCAAAATGTGTACCAGTTTGCTGTGCTCCCATTAGGCCGCCCACCCTGCTGAAATATCATTTCTTCCGATGTGAATTGCTCTTTCCACCTCCTAACTTTCCAGTATGTCACACCAACATGAAGCAGCTGAGCAAATCACCACAGCTTCTTGTAATAAAATATCTTCTTTCAGCCTCTGCAGTTGTTTGTATCAAATATGACATTTGTCTTGCTGAAGGTCCTGCTTAACATACCCACAACACAAACACAACATTCCCCGACTATGCACCCCCAGAATTGCCCTGAATCATCCACATGTCTGGTGAGACTAATGAAGCACTTTAGACTCTGAAAGTAAGCAGGAAAGAAGAGCCAAAATTTGGGTCTGGAGAGGGAAACTCAGGATCTTCCTCATGGAGGAAGGGCAACTGTGGAAAAAGGTACAGTCAGAGATAGCAGTAAATGGTGACTTTGGTCAAGGAGGAAAGTGTAAAGTACGGGACTGCATTGCACCCCACCATAGCAGAACTTCAGCATTTCAAAGCGCCTTGAACTGTCACTGCAGCACAAGGAGCTTTTGACATCTGTAGGTCCAAGGTGTGTTTGGAAAATGGTGATCCTGCCCCACAGTTTACCTAACTGCCTGAACTCATGCTTTTTGTGAGCTCAGCTGGGAGCATCATGCTGCACTGCCTAGGCACTGAAGCAGACACATCCCAAATTATTGTAGCTAGAAAATTCTCCAAGCATCAGAGCTGCTGCTGGCCACCACTTCTGGAAAAGTGGATTTTGATTTTCCTTGGAGAGATGACTAAATGTAAAATCATGGGCTGGCCAGCTAAGGGGCAGAGCAGACTCAGTGGTGTAACTGCAACCCTGTTCTTCAGCATCACAGACTCAAACATTGACTAACCTTCACCCTGTTGTTATCTCAGCAAAATATACTGGTGTCACAAAAGCAAGCACCATCAACATTGTACCTTCAAGAGTATTCCTATGGTGTCCTCTAACCACACATCATCAAGAATACTGAGTTCACTTTACTTCCTTGTGTAACTTCCAACTGTTTTATAAGTGTCCAAATTTATAAATCTTAGCTACTGCTTAGATAAAGTACTGCTGCTTGGCGTTAATACATTCAATCTTGCATGGCCTAATGAAATCTCTCTCCTTATTCTCTTACCTGAGGCCTGTCTGTGACCAGCTGTGAGATAACTTGTGGGTTGCATACCCCTTCTTTGCAGCAGCAAGGTTGGTGGTGATGCTAATTGTGCAACACTTTTTTCGACAATTTTCTTTCTTTAACTCTTCTCTTAATTGAGAATTCAGTATGATGTAAAATAATGAGTTCTCAGCCACACCTTTCCTCTGCCCATGCAGCTCCCTCCTCCACAGTAGAACAGGAGGCATACAAGTACAACAATTTGGAGCTTTCAAAGCACTTCCAGCAGTAGCTATCTCAATAACTATAAAAAAACATTACCACAAAAATTCCTATTATAATCCCTGCTTCTCAGGTCTCTTGGGGATGGTGGCACACATGATGTATACTCAAGTTTTCCAAGTGACAGTCAGCCTTGGGCCAGAGGACTGGCGACCACATTCATGGGACTATGGATGGTCCTTCTGGTAAGTGTCACCACGAGTTAATATCTTTTCATTTTTGAGTTGTTCCATCAGTCTGTTGAGAGATTGTACGTATCATTTCAAACTTCCAGGAACATGCATGTGCATTTCCAGCTGGCAAAATGCTAGAGGCAAAAAACCACCATGGCTGTAGGATTGTTGAGGTGTTAGAGGACAGTTACCATTTAGCTGCAGCAGCAGCAGCTGTGCATATCAGCAGGTACATAGCATTTGTAAATAAACAGCAGCCACAATTACCAACACAGATTGAGCGCTCTCATTAAAGTTCAATTTAGGTACGTAATTGCCGTGGCATTTCGGAGACTTTTAGCTTTTTTGTTGTTTTGTTTTTAATTAATGTCTCAGTTGAACCTTATAGTGAAACTTTTACAAGTGCAGAGGAAGGCATAGTGCTCCTGGCACCATGATACTTCCCTGGGGACCATGGGGAGAAGACTTGGGAAAATGGACATGACATTTTGGAGACTGATTTTTTTACTTTTTTTTACCTTTCCCATTTATCTTCTAAAAATCACATTAAAATAATTTGGCCAAGACACGTCAGCTGTGTCATATTTCTTGCAAGTTTATAAGAAGCTTAACAAGAACAGGAGACTGTGGAGAATAGAAATACCTGCTAACAACATTCACATCCCTCTAGAGGCACCAGCCTCTTTGGATTGCTGGGTAAAATACTTTCCTTTTTACATTTCTAAATATAGCGTATTATTTTAATTCCATCTCAAAGCGGAGAAAACAACCTTTGCTAACGCCAATAAATAAATACAAATACATCTTATGCACAGCACTGCAGGGAATTATTAGTCTTTCCTATTCCCCTCACTATACTGTGTTTCATGGGAGGAGTTACTAACATTTTAGTAACATGTTACAAAATATAAATTGCATTATATTTAAAGTACAGCTTATTTTGTGCATCAATAATGAATTTTCATTGCATATGATGATGAACTTATAAGTATACTGCATTCATGTATTTATAATATTTCTATAAATATTTAGAACAATCCTGTCACAATAATTGTATAATTATTAATATATTTAAATAATAAGGCATATTCTCTATTAATTTGTCTTCAGTAATCTATTTTATAATTTTCTGCAATACTCAAAATTCAGAATGTTGTTAAATGCCTAGCATGATAAAGCACTCATTAGATTATTCTCCTTGATCTTGTGCAAGCCAAGGAACCCCGTGTCTCAGAACAGGTATCAGAGGCTGGTGGGTGCCGGAGGGGACTCTGAGCCTCCCTGGGCCCGCTCACCCTCCCCATGCTCCACTGAGCGAGCTGTTCAGAACCCAGAACCCGGGCAGCTCCCAGTGCTGGCTGCTGTCCCACCCATAGCTTTGCCCCGAAGTAGGCGCTGCATCCCTTGCCTGCCAGAGCCAGGGTACATCAGATTTTGGGTTAAAGACCAGGACTTTGGGTTACACCTCACTGCAGAGGATGCCGGAGAGAGAGATACCCACAAGCAGGCAAATATGTGGGAACAGCCACAGCTCTTCCCATATTCCTGAAGTGGGACCTCAGCTCCACTTCATACAGTGATTGTTGGTTCACCCTAGCTAAAGCTGACCTCTGCTTAAGCTATCGCCGTCACAAAGCAGCTTACAAATTTTGTAATTTTTGCAAAGGTGTTTTTGTAAATACCTTCCAAGGCAACACACTTGTCTATGCAGGATGCTAGGCGAAGTGCAAACATCAGCTCAGTCACAGTTCCCCTGGGACAGACATGAAGGGCAGCAGCATTTTCAGCCTGCAGTGGTGCTCAGCAGCCTGGGGTTCCTCATGCCATGCCAGTGACTGGTAGCAGACCTGGCAAAGGAAGGTCTGAAAGCCAAACACAGAAAAAAAAGGGTGCTGCTTTCCAGCTGACACTAGCTTGCTTCCTTCAGCTGACACTGAACCTCCACTGCTGTACAGACTAGAGAGCTACAGGCTCCCCTGGCATCGCCCAGACCTGAACACCTTCTTCCAGAAGAGCTAAAAGCAAATGCCCACCCACCCTGGTGGAGTTTGGAAACTGACAAGTAGGAATTTCTTTTTGCTTCATCTGGGTTCAGGTGATGGCCTGAAGGGTGGGCTTTAAATACCCCTTAACCAGAAGTGTGAACATCAGTGTTATTTACAGCCTTCTGTATAAAGTACCAGTGCAGCAGCCTACCAGACAACCTGTCAGAGCACAGACAATTGTGTCACTGAAAAACGGGGCCAGGAAACAGCGTCCCCACTGACAGGAGAGAAAGGACACAAGTGGAGATCAAGACTGACATTTGTTTCCCAAGTGCCAATGGGAAAACTACTCTTTCTGTGACTCTATTTCCCCTCTATTGGAAGGATATGATAAAATACCTCTCCTCATCTGCTCATGTCCCAAGATTGAAAATACACCACTTGATCTCTATTATCTCACCCCATTCACAAGCCATTGGCAAAGCCAGGAGGTTGGTCTGTGTTCTGGCACAAGCCAGGAGTGGGCCAGGACATTCTCCAGGCAGGGGGTTCAGTGGCTCTGAGGATCAATGGATGTTCAAGCTCAACCCTTTTATAAGGAAAACAGCTACAAAAACCTGAGCTGTTTGAGCCACAGAGGAAACTGAGAGCACAACCCTGAGTTCAGCTACTACAGGTACAGTCCCACCACTTCTGTGGCACAGCTGGCATGGAGAGGCATTGCTGTTAAAGAGGTCTCCATCTAAGATAGGATGTAACTCTTGCAGGTAGGAGAACCACTCTTTACACTTAAAAATAAGTAACATTTAACCAAGTCCATAAAAAACTAAAACATATCAATCATAATTGTCTCATTATTATGATTTACCAAATGCCAGACCTGAGCACATTGGGAGTCTTCATTCTGTATTTCCTTCTCTGAACCTTCCAGCATTTCTGAGTTAATGATTAGAAATTATCAGAAACTTTCAAGAGAAATTTTTCTCTATATGTCATTCCCCAGGCACCAACCAGGCACAGTGAAGCATGTGGTTTCAGCTGGCTTCTTCCTTGATACTATTTAGAAGCCCAGCTGGAAATGTTTGGAGCTGTTGGAGCTTTTCCACACTCTCCGTGTAGGAGGAAGGCACTTGCCAGCCTTCCCTGTGCCTGGACACTCACACATAACATGAGTTTCCTTTCCACTTCCCCGCTCAACCGTGGGAAACATAAGGGAACGTCATCACCCCAGGGCTGACTACGCTTCCTGCTCATTTAATTGCATCTGGCAAACAGTTTCAAAAACGACTAGAAAAGGGCTGCCTCACGCACTTCATTGCCATGGGAGTCCCTGAAGGACTTGTTATGCACTGAATTTTGAAATCATTGAAATGAGCCATTTCTGTTTACTTGAACCATTTTTTTCAGATTTTTCAGTTCATAAATATGTGTTCAAGTTTTGTCTAATTTGAAATGAGAAACTGTTTCCCTCTCTGCAGCTCCTTTGCAGAACAGAAAAACAGCTAATGCTGAGGGCTCTGTTGATAATGCGTATTTATAAGATAATGCTACTGTGACTGTATTCTTTCTGTTCTGTATGATTTATATCTATGTTCAATTTGGTTATAGAAAAGGTGAAAGCAAGGAGCAGGTAAAGTGTGTAGCTGACACAGATGATTAAATTAATCCAAGCTAGTTAGGAAGCCACTGTGAACTATCTGGAGCTGGAGCTGAGCTGAGCTCAATGTTAAGTCAAGGGGAGCCTGAATGCAAGTAAACTCTGCAGACAAGAGGAGGAATTCAGTGCCTTTTTGTAGCTCCATTTCATGCTCAAAAAGCATCTAAACTCCCTCGGGCCACGAGTTCCCCCAGCCACATGGAGGGAGGGATGATCTCTGAACTTGAGATCAGTGAAGTAAAGGCTGGAGGAGAGATGTTCAGGGAGGGCAGAAGACATCCAAGAGGGAAACCCACGAGCTGGGAGTAGAGCAGGTCCCAGCTGAACTCTCCTTGCCAGGAGACCCAGGACAACACTTGTTGCTGTTCCACTCTGTCCATGGGGGCAGTCACCGTTTTTTACTGCCACTTTCCTTTTCCCTCTGTCTCCCCATGCTCCTGGCCAGTACTTGCAGATGTCCTGCCACTGGCTGACCAAGATCTGCTAGCACTGCCAGCACTTGTGAGGCACTGCCCTCAGATTGGATCCCCCCACAAAATGGAAGTGCTGTCTTCTATTCTGGTCAGGCTTTCAGAGACCACATATAAGCCAGGAATGCTAGAAATGTCCATGAACCAGGAAAGAGGGAAATACAGTAGTTTGACAAAGACAGGCACTTGTCTGCAAGGCTCTGAAGCATTTCAAAGGGAAATCAAGAGGCGTTGGACTCTTCTGTCAGAGTGCCCAGAGTGTTCACGTTAGGACTCTGACACATGGTTCTCCACGGGGTGAAAGTTGTGCCCAGCCCCTAGTTCAGCATCCTGCCTGCGTGCCTGCACACGTGCAACAGGTCGTTGGAGGTAAGATGAGGAGAATGGGTTTGTCGCCACTGACTTACCTGCATCCTGTGTATGTGTGTCTCTTGGCGTCAGAAGTATAACATGAGCTGCTGTCTTAACCCAGCTCTGTCTGCTGGTTTCTCTCTCCACAGTCTGGCATGGGGCTCTTTCACCTGCTGCATGGCGGCCTCCGTTACTACCTTGAACTCTTACACTAAGACTGTCATTGAGTTCAGACACAAGCGCAAAATCTTTGAGCAGGGCTTTCGAGAAGAGCAGAACTTCCTAGACCAGGAAGCCATCAAGTACTTCAGAGAAAGGTCAGTGCAGTCAGTCGCTCCATCAGTGGAGGTTTTCATGGGCTCTGCTAGTCTCAGAAAACCCAGGCTCTCACCCATTTCAGCACACATGGGTGAAGTCGCTGAGATATCGGGAGAAGATGTATGTTAAAGAAAAACACAAAAGATCCTCCTTGATTTGTTTTTTCTTAAATTTTGTGATGTCCCAGTGCCTGCCTTTTCTTATATACTCTATAAAACACATGACTGAGAGGTCCTTACAGTATGTACCTGATTCATAGGAAGTCATAAGAAGCTATGCTGCCAATGCAGGCCTATTTTCCCTCTCTGGAAAGGTAAAATTGTGGGGATATAACAAATGTTACAGCCACGCTTTCTCAGTATGTGCAATAGGCACCTCTCTATAAATCTAATAGCTGCTGAGACATTTTCCAGCCACCGCCAGGCCACTTCAGAGTTGCCAGCTTCCATAGTCACACGCCTACAACTCACCCTAGGCTCCTCCACACAACCCATCCTAGGCTCCTTCACAAAAACACCGTGCATATGTCATATTGCAGTGCAGAAACACCCACATGGTGCCACCCACGCTGCTACCAGGGTCTTAGATTGATTCTAAGTCCTGTCTGAGCCCTGAAGGCCCAGAGATGTTCCTTCACTCTGCCCGTCACCACACACAGCCCACCTGGCGCACCACTGTCCCCATGCACTCTCAGTTAGTTCATGTGACTGCACAAAGGTACTTGCTGCCCTCATTCTTCCATGAGAACGTTAAAGCTTTGCTCAACATTGCAGAATGTGAAGAACACACAAACAATGACCTCACATAGCAGGGAAGGTGTGATGGACTCCATGGGGGTACCTTCATGGTATGAGGAGCTGATAAGTACAGAGAATACTCACCAAAAGCCTATTGTTGGAAGAAATGTAAACATATTCTGGGGACAGAAAACATAAGGAGGATTCATTCTTGTTCTTCTGACCAATGTGGCAGTTGCTCAGTAGTGGAAGAGCG